AGTATGTAAAGTAATCAGAAGCTAATTTTTTTATTTGGTCGATTGATATTATAAATCATATATACAATTTCAATCCTAAATACAGTTTTATTTTATTTCAATCAATATTATATAATTAAAATAAAGGATTTAGACTGTTAATCATATCGACATGTTTATTTGTACACTCCATCATAGCACGAAAAAAACGGCTTGCAATGTTGGATCATTTAATAGCGGTATCTCGTGAAGGTTTAATAACTGATTCTGATATTAGAGAAGAAGTCGACACTTTTATGTTTGAGGTATGTTCGTAACATCTTTTAGTGTTTTTACATATTGTTTATAATGTTTATATCGACATAAATATGTGATTACAGGGTCATGATACTGTGGCGACGGCTCTATGTTTTATTTTGGCATTATTAGCTGAACATAAAGACATTCAGGTACTTATCATCAAATATAGATCGCTATCTTTAGAAAAAGGAATTAATTCATTATAATGATTTTAAAAACTATTTTTTTAAATATGTCAATAAAATTACATTATAAAAATTTTATTTTAAATGTTTGTGTGCGTATGCGTTTAATAAATGTACAACTTTTGCTTTTTTCTATATTAATATTAATAAATAGATATTGATAGATACAAAAAATGTGTACACCCACACGTTCATGCACGATGTATTTCACATATTCTTCTAAGCTTTCAATGTATTTTATGTTCATATTTTTAAAAAAATTAATTGATTATTAATATACTTAATTAATCTTGAAATTACGCGGAATTTGTTTGCGTTTCAATAAAAATATGAAACATGTTATTAATTAATACTAATAATACAGGATCGTGTCAGAAACGAAATCGATACTGCTATAAAAGAGAATAGGGAGAAATTGACTATGAAATTATTGCAACAGCTACCATATTTAGAGAGATGTATAAAAGAAGGATTGCGCTTATATCCCAGTGTTTATTTTATATCGCGCTTTACTGCAGAAGATGTAAAATTACGTACGTATCAAATTAAATTTTTTCTTATTTTTAAAATTATTTAAATTTTAAATACAATTAGTTAATGTTTCAACAAATGTTAGAGCTAAATGTAAGTAAGGTGTGATATTTTAAAGATACCTTAATTTTTATATTTTTATTTATTTTATTTATAACACTTATTTATATTGTATTTTAAAATAATATCTTTATATACACACCTACAT